CCCACGCCCCCCCGCCAGGGGACGGCGCGCGTGCGCCCATTGGCCGCCGCGCCCGGCAGTGGGCGGGGCCGCAGCTCCCCATTGGCTCACCCGCGGGCGCTGCTGCCCTGCGGGAGGGGGCGATTTGCATATTTAAAGCGGCCGCCGCCTGCCCGCTCCGCTCTCCCGCTACATGGGGCGGGGCGGAGCGAGGAGGCGCGGGGGGGGGCACGAGCAGGTGCAGCCCCCCCGCCCGGATCCCACCGGCCGAGCCGGGAGCACCGGGAGCTTTGGGGGGGGGGGGGCTGCAGTGCCGCCCCCCGCGCACCGGCAGCCCGCGGAGCCGCCGCGCTGCTGCAGCCCCCCCTCAAGGAGCCCGCGGTGCTAATTGCTAATGAGCCTCATCCCGCGCGGGGCGGCGGGCGCGCATCCCGGGCTGAGCTCATGCCCCAGCACCGGCTGACACCGGGGCGGCCGCTCCGCAGCTGCGGGACGGCAGCGCGGGGGGGACCCAGGGCGCTGCGGCAGCGGCCGAGGCTCGAGCAGGACGCGGGGCGCTGCGGCACCCAGCGCTTCGCTCCCGCTCCCGTTTGTCCCCTCGCCCCTGCCGCTCCCCCGGGACAGGAGCGCTGGGCAGCGCTGCCGGCGACGCGCGGCCTCCGGCTGCACCGGCGGCACAGGCCGCACCGCACTCCTGCCGGCACCCGCGTCCCCGGCGGTGACACCCGACCGCAGGGCTGGGCCGCCTGGGTGGGCGCACTGAGCTGGGTGTGCTCCGAACCTCGCCGTGCGAGCGGGGAGCGTTGCCCGAGCACACTGAGCATTGCTGTGCATGTAACAAGGGGTGCGTGCATTCTGTGCACGCTGAGTGCTGCTGTGCGCGCACCAAGCCGTGCGTGCTGAGGGCTGCTGGGCATAGTGAGCACTCCTGTGCATGCACCGAGCCGTGCACGCCGAGCACTGCTGTGCACGCACCAAGCCGTGTGCACAGTGAGCATTGCCGTGCACGCACCAAGCCGTGCACGCCGAGCATTGCCGTGCACGCACCAAGCCGTGTGCACAGTGAGCATTGCCGTGCACGCACCAAGCCGTGCACGCTGAGCGCTGCCACGCACACACCAAGCTGCGCGCTGCGCGTTCCCGTGCGCGCTCCGCGGCACCGTCGCTCTTTGTTAGCGCTCGCTCCGTGACACCTCCTGCTTTTCCCGCTCTCCGCAGCCTCGGCCGGGCCCCAGCCCCTCACCGCGGCCGTGCCGGGGGGAGGCTGCCGTCCTGGGGCTGGCTTGAGGCCCCTGCAGCCCCACAGCACCCCAGGGTGCCCAGGGCCGGGTGCTCTTGGTGCAGCCTGTGCATCTTCCCAGCTGGGTGCTGCACTTGCAATTGCAGCCCCCCCACCCGCACCCCGCAGCAGCCCCCAAAGCCCCTGCAGTGCCTGCGGGGGGAGCATTCCCAGCCCTTGCCTATTGCTCCCTTTGGCTCACACAGCCCCACGCCGGGCAGGGAGCACCCGGCAGCGCTGGAGACACCGTCCCCACCACCTGCATCACGCACCCCAGGGCTGCAGGGGGGACGAGGGGGCCCCACCCGGTCCCGTCCCCCTCCCCAGGGCCGAGCCCTGCTCCCCTCCTCGGCACGGGCGCAGCCGCGGCGGCTCCGGCAGGGATGCAGGCGGTTGCCATGGAAACTGCTCCATCCTGCGCCTGCCCCCCGCCCGTCCCCCCTCCCCGCAGCAGCACACGCAGGCGGACGGCGCCGTGAGCTCGTTATCTCTTTAATGCTTGTTTGCAAATACACTGACCAAACGGTGACGGCGTGTGCAAGACGGGGCGCGTGCCAGGGCCCGGAGAGCTCGCGGGGGCGGGCGCGGCCCCCGCCGACATTAAAAACAGCCCCCAGCTAAGAAAAATAGATAAAGCACTAAAGGTGAAACATTCACTCCCTCCCCAGCCCCTCCCCGCACACGTAGGACGATACAATCAAAAGTAAAAAGGCCCCCGCGAGCCGCTCCCCGGCGCTGGGGGCTGCAGCCTCACAGTGGCAACCACAGATAAATAAGAACCTCCCGCAGGAACAGTTTTGGTTTGTTCAGTTTCTTGTGTTTTCTGGTGTTTTTTCTTCTTTTTTTTTTTAAAAAAAAAAAAAGTCACTACAAAAAGAGCCGGTGAGGAGCCCCTACAAAACCGCTTAGTGTTTGTCCTCGCCCGGGGGTCCGTGGTCCCAGCTCCCCCAAAGCCCCTTCACCCCCCCGGGACATCAGGTTCTCCATCCAGCTCCTGCAGGGATTGAAGGAGAAGGAAGAGGCGGCCCCGGCCCCCAACACAGCCAAGAGCCCCCGCGGGCAGGGAGGGGGACCCATGGGTGCAACAAGCGGGCAGGTCTCAGCTCGGTGCAGAGCGAAGCCTCCCGCTGCTTGCCCACGAGGACGAGGGCTGGGAGCCGGGCAGGGGAGGGGGACACGACTGCTCTTGGCGGCACCTGGGGGGCTCCCGTCAGCCCTGGGGACACGCGGACAAGACGGGGCGAAGCCCCCTCGCCGTGGCTGGCGAGCGGTGCCGGCCATGCAGGAAGGGGACACGTGGGACGCAGCCGTGGCGGAGCTGGGCAAGGGGGGTCCTGCCCTGGCTCCCCCAGACTGGGGGTTCGGCCCCCGCTGTGGCGGGGGGGCAGTAGTGGCTGGTGGGGGAACAGCAAACGACTAAAAGTTACCCTGTAAAGTGGAGCTCGGCTCAGGCGGCCGGGAAGGCCGGGAAGGGGCTCAGCAGCGCAGGGCGCGGGAGGGGGCAGCTCTGCACCCCCTGGCAGGGCCACCCCGTCCCCCGTGGGGGCAGCGGCCGTGCGGAGCAAGGGGTGGCTCTGGCGTGGGCCAACCACACCGCAGGGTGGGGGACATGGTGACAGGGTGACGTGGGTCCCACGGGACCCCCAGGACTCCATGCAACCCCCAGGACCCCATGCCAGCCCCCAGGGAGGGGGCGCTCGCCCCCTGCCAACCCTTCCCCTCCATCCCCTCTGAGCCATGGGGAGGGAGGAGGCAGGCGGAGGAGGAGGAAGGTGAGGATGAAGCCCACACGTCCTCCCCGCCACCGGCGGGCCGGGACCCTGCTCAGAACTCCACCTTGCAGGCGGGGAAGGTCTCGTCCTGCATGGCCACAGTGCTGTTGCTGCCCAGCACCGTGATGCCAAGCTCCTGCTGCCGCTCGTGCGTCTCCTGGTACCACTCGTGCATCACCAGCGAGTCGAAGGTGGGGATCAGCGTCACCTGCGGAGGCACCCACGGCACCCGCTCAACGCCCCTGCCCAGCGCGAGCCCCCAGCACCGGCGCCCAGAGCTTGTGGCCACAGCTCAGGGCTTTGTCCCATTTGGGAAAGAGCTGGAAATGCTCCAGGGAAGCCTCAGGGCTCCTGCTCTCCAGCTCCTGCCGTTATTTCCTCCCCATCCCACCATCTTCAGGGGAAACTGAGGCACGGCGGTTGCCCCCACAAAGACGCCCGGCTCGAGGAGCAGAGCCTGGGAGGGCTCTGGGGCCAGTCCCAGCAGGCAGGGGCAGCTCGAGCGGCACCGCGGGTCCCGCCGCGCTCACCTGGATGTCGGTGCCCCACTGGTGCTTGCCGGCGAGCAGGGCGTCCAGGATGCTCCTCATGACGCCCTCCTTGAGGTGGTCGTCGCCGCTCACCACGTAGCAGAGGGAGCGCACGCGCCGGAAGAACTCCTCGTCCACGGTGCGCGCGCTCCACGAGCCGGGCACGTAGGCCAGGTCCACGTAGACGGGGGGGCCCGGGGGGGCGGCAGCCCGCGAGCCTGCGAGGACGGGGACGCGTGGGCTGCGAGGGGCGGCACCGGGGCGGGCAGCCCCCGACACCCCGGGGCATCCCGCCCCAAAGCCTCGGACGGCATCGCCCCAGCGGCGGCGCCGGAAAATGGGAGCCGCCAGGAAGCTCCGGCACCGAGGCCGGCTCGGGGCATCCCCTCCCTCCCCGCCGCCCCACAGGGACCCCAGGCCTTACCTGCCGGAGACGCCCGGCCGGCTCCGGCCAGCGACCTGGCTCCAGCGCTGCGGGTGGCCCCAGGGGCGCGGGCGTCCCCGGCCGCCCCGCCATGGGGGCCTCTCTTGTCCGCGAGCGGCAGCCTGGCCTTGTCCCCGGCGTCACGGGCCGAGCCCCCAGCAAGGCGGGCCTTGGAGGCCACGCTGGAGGGCTTGGCGGGGTCGGGCCTGGGGGCGGCGGGCGCCGAGCCCACGCGGGACGGCGTCCTCTTCACCTTGCCGGGTTGCTCCTTCTTGGGCGCGCGCGGCTGCTCGCCCGGCAGCGCCTCAGGGTCCACCATGCAGATGCCGGGCTGCGCAGGGATGGGGCAGGGGTCCTTCATGGGGGCGGGCAGCGGGTCGCGGGCCCTCGCCAGGCCCCGGGCCGGCTGCTCCGAGTCCTCGTCCGACTCCAGCCCGTCGGCCAGGATGGAGGGGCAGTCCTCGGTGGCCGGCGGGATGTCAGAGTCGGACAGGGTGGGCAGCGACTCGCTCACGGAGGTGGGGGGCGTCTCGGCCGCCGGCTGGCGGGGCTGGCCGCGGCGCTGCGCCAGCGGCTGCGCCATCTCCTGCGACAGGTCGCTGTCCGACAAGTCCCGCGGGCTGACGTTGGCCGAGGGCGACCGCTCCGACTTGGGGTGCTCGAACTCGCAGGGCGACACCAGGCACAGGTCCACGTCGTGCGGCGAGTCGGAGCGGCGGCCCGGCTGGCGCGGCGGCGCGTCCC